ATATTAAGAAAAAAAAACAGTGAGGAGACTAAGTACGGTTGACCCCATGTCTCAATTTCAGTACTGTTTTGGGAGAGGAATTCAGAAGTTAAGCCAGGCAATATTTTTGAAACAAAATGTGGAGGTACCAAAAACCAATTTCCTAAGAAATGGACATTCTAAAATGTTTCCTTAATGATAAAGTCTGAAAATGGTAGAAAGACCATATACATAGACAACTGAATCTTACATAAATAACCTTGAGGAATAAGTTTAGTTACTTTAAAAATAATTATATGCATATCCTTTAGTGTATGTGCAGATGTGTGAAGCTGGAGGTAGAGGCCAGAAAAGGGTGTCAGATAGCTAGAGGTGGAGTTACTGGCAGTTGTGAATCACCCAGTGTGGATACTAGGAACTAAACTGACGTCTTCTGGACGAGCAGCACAAATTTCTCCAGTCTCCTCATTTTTCTTTTTAAGGAAATCACTCTGCCTGCTATTAGTTATTTCCAAATACAGTCTTCCAAAGGTAATCCAAATCAAATTTTCATCATAAAAAATGTATTCCAGACTAGGAAGTCCAGTTTTATTTCTAATAAATGCATAAGAAGTCTAAAATTAAGGAAAAGCTAGAGAGATCTTTAATTTAAAATATATCACACTTTAATTTAACACGGGTTCAGTGTTGAAATGGCTTTTTTTGGTGTCAGAGTAGTGGATCAGCCTTCAGAAACACCAATAGGTACCTTTAAAGAAGAAGCATTCAACTTATGCTCACAAATTTCTGAATTGATTCTTAGATGTCATATTCTGAACTGTGAGACTATTTTTTTGTGAGATTTTGGTGTTTCAGGATCCTACAAAACTGAAACTAATTTTTAAGTGTTTTCCAAGTAATGGTCCATATCAAGAGGTGTGGCTCCAAAGTAGAATACTTGCTCAACATGTATAGTCCCCTGAGTGTTCCAGGCCTAGTATGGAAAAACAACACAAAATGCTGCAAGACAACCATTTCTCTACGTCTGCTATCTCTACATCTGTCATAGCCCTTACTCCCATCAATATGACATTCTGCTTTCTCTACAAATCTGGTAACTGTAGCCATGCTTTTTTCTCAAATTTTACTTCTCCCAAATGAGCTGAACTCTCAGGAAATGGAGAAGTAGGAAAGGTGGGAAGGAAGAATAATATTGACTTACAAGATGTCTTTAAGGAAAGTGTGTGTGGGGGGAGGGGGCAAGTTGTATGGCTTTGGTTTTTTCTGTATCAACCTTCCATTTACTTCACTAAGAAACAACAGAAATGGATAGAGCCAGCCATAGAGCCCAGTTCTCATTTCAAAGCAACCTTGGGACTGAGTGTATTGGTGGAAGTGAGATTAAGTTAAGCAACATTGGTTGGATTATTTAATATATGAGAAAAGCAAAATTGTCTACATCTTGAAGGAAGGATTTTTCTATTATGCAAAAGCAGAAAGTAAAGCAAAATTAAATGCTCATTTGCGAATCATAAGAAAGGGTATTAATCCTCAATTCATTGTCATACCCATATGGCTAAGTTGTTGACGATCCATCAAGAATTGATAGAATGGACTTATCTGTTGGAGGCTCAAAGGTCCTCATACAGAGAAGCACTAAGAGATGCAAGGATGTTAATCATGCAGGAGTGTCTCCTCAATGGAGAAGGTAGAAGTCACACACCTGTGTTCCATCAAGAAAGCTGAGAGCGGTGGTTTTTCATTACATGGTGACCATTTTGCTGTAGAGGCAGTCTCAGCCTAATTCCCCAGAATGATTATCCCAGGTTCTTCCCTTCCTTTACCATTACCCATCTTTAGGGAAGATGTCACAAGTACTTTACGGACTGCTGACTTCTATGTTATTGATCAGAGACCACACTAGATTCAAGGTCATTTAGCTATAGAACCTGCACTCATGGTCACATATACTTTGTAAAAGAGGTTGTATGTAGTCACACTTTAAATCTTATTGTATGCCTGGAATCGGACTGATTGTTGTCCAGAAAACTTTTCCAAAATTGTACTGTGTTTTAAATTTGTCAACAGTGAGCCACTTGGAATTAGACTCCCAATGTCTGATCCAGGTTGATGAAATCAGTCTTCACCCGGTTTTCATTCTTTTTTTTCTTTTTTTATTTTAATTTTTATTTATTTATTTATTTATTTATTTATTTATTTATTAAAGATTTCTGTCTCTTCCCTACCGCC